AAAGTATACATTTAGATTCGTAAGGAACTAAGAAAAAGAACACATTAATCACATTAAGAAATCTTTATACAACAATTTTAAAACTGTTCTTTTTGTTGAACGCCGCCAATTACTTCTGTAATTCAACCAAGAATTAGACAAGGAGAACGAGATTATACAGATAAAAAATAGTGATCGTTTACACTACTCTTGTAATCTAGAATTCTAATACCCGAAATTACTGGGCGTTCATTGAACGATAAATGATTTCGGTGAGAAAGGGAAGGTAGCGCCAAAAGGAAAACTTGATGTCGCCGGTGTTCACTGAAATAAAAGAATTGCTCTTGTAATATCTACAGTTCTAACCGAGTTCGCCACTGCGCGTTGCACTTTCGCCTTGTTGCACTTTCGAGTTTGACGCGCGTAAACCGCGCGCGAGCGTGAGCCCGAAAATCAATCCGTCGCCAATTTTAGCAGCGCGGCGCGGCGCGGCGCGTCAATATACGCCACGCTCTCGGCCGGAAAGCGAGACGGGATCTTTTCCCTCGGCCGGAATATTTCATTGCGCTCCCACGCCTCGGAAGTTGTATTTATATGTGGACCTGCCGTGCTACCGGAAGCGTAACGCGATGTACATGGTGCTCCCGAAATACGACGCGCGCGTGTCCGACGTGACGCGTGTATACCTTCCCTCGAGCCTCGCCGCGGATCACGTTTTAATCATTTCGAGTTTTTGAAGGACCCTAAACGAATGAAGCTAACAAATCATTTGTAATTAAAGATAATGTTAGACATATGTGTGCATGTTTCTTATCCTTCATATATCGTGTTTTTTTATTCTACTTTTTTCCTTCTTGCGCTAGTTTACACTAATATCTTATTTAATATCATAATTTTTTGGCTAGTTTGCACAGTTTTCCCGCAAAAATGCTGATAGTCTTTTATCTTAGCTTCATAGCTTCCCTCTTGGTATATATCTCTTCCAATAATATGTTTTTCTTATCTTGCACCTCCTTATATCCTCCTTTCTCTTTCTACAGTTTCTTATATCACAAAGTTAGTAAACTGATAAACTGGATTACATCGATAACAAAGTCACGCGTTTCAACTTTAAATGCGTCATCATGCGTCACAACATTGTTGCAATGTTGCTGAAATGTTTCGAAATATGAATTCTTGCTTATTGAGTTCCTCCTGTTTTTCTCGAAAAATTCTTCGAGTTCGAGTAACATTAATCCATTTCAATTGAATTAGTTGTAAATAAAAGATAATAATAAATGTTTGTAGTAAAAGTTGTAAATAATAGAGAATAATAAATAAAAGAGACGCGAAATATTTCTCTAGACAACCGAATAAAAAATTATTATTCTATATAAAAATATTGTCTGAAATCGCGTTCGCGAAAAGACCTCAGCGTTTTGAAACTGACGAGCTTCTTCTCCCTTCGCTCGCATTTGACTAACGGGGAC